TGCTGGCCATTGCTCTGTGCGGACACCAGGCGGCCCCGTCTGTCCGAACAACCGGGAGTGACTGGCACTGATCATCCAAGAGCTGGAGTGCGCCCTGTGTGTGTCCGTGTGTGTGCAGGGGAAAGCCGGATCCCAGGACTGTGCGAGAGGTTTCCGTGGGAAGCTGGAGCACCCGCTGCACATCTGCACACAGAAAACACGATCCCAGCCTGAGCAGAGCCTCTGTCCTGGCTGCACACCCCCACTGTTCATGGAATGCTTGCAGTGTCCAGCTGAGGACATGCAGGGACTTGGGGACACTGGGGGGCACAGCTCTTGGAATCTGATCCCCCACACAGATTGAGACTGGGCGGGGGCTTCCTCAACTTGGTTCTGTGGAGGTGAGAGCAAGAATTCAGCTCCTCTTCAAGCATCACAGAAATCCCTCCAGAATGGAAAGCTGTAACTACTCTGGTCCCTCCCTAAAACTGACCTGGCCCTGTCCTCTGGCCAGCATGGACACCCCAGAATCCCTGCTGCTGGTTAGCTAACCAATGGAAAAGATTCTCCAGAGTCTGATAAGGGCTCAGCTGACACCTCAGCTTCTCCCTTGCTCCCTCCTCCTCTGCAGCCTCCCTTGCTCACAAGGCTCACAAGAGGATTAGGGAGTTAATCCTCTTTGGGACATCAAGCTCCCTGTTAAGACTGCTAGGAAGGGCCAGAAGCTGTGAAGCACAGTGGGGCACTGCCACAAAGCCCCTTTCATGCCAGGAGCAGCCCTGTGGATGAATCCCTGGGCTGGTGGCAGCCTCTCCATTGCCACCACCCACTTCTCCACCCAGCCAGAGCACAAGGCTCTCCCCAGGGCCATGGATAATGGTCCTATCAGGCTGTCTCCCTCCACCCCATCCTGGCCTATCCACCTGGTCTGGAAGGGAAGTTGAAGGAAGGAGAAACATCCTCCTGTCCTGGCAGGGACCAGCAGCCCAAGGCTGTGCAGGATGTGGGAAATGAACAAAAGCTTTCTGCAAACACAGGTCCATGCTCAGCCCGCTGAGGGGGGCTCTGGATGTCCAGGAGCTCTGTAGAATCCCAGGGGCATGGCTATTACTGGAACAAAGTGATGTGCTGGAAACATTCCCTTATGGATGATACTGAGCCAATTGGTCTTTCACAGAGGGATTGCTCCAACTCCTCCTCTGGAGAGGAAGGGTCCAGGCTGGCCCTGCTGGTGTGCCACAGGCTTGTCATTGGCTACAGGTGGGCAAAGAAGCTCCTGCACCTCCACTTTCTGTTCCCACTTCCCACCCAAACTACAAACTGTAAACATCCTTGAGTACCCTGCACCTAAAATCAGGGAGGAAATAACAGTGGCTCAGTTCTTTTACTCCCTGAGCCTGGGATCTGGGAAAATGATGTGATGTTTTGGTTTTGCAGCAGCTGCTGCCTGGGGTGGGGGAGCCAGGGCTGCCCAGACACAGTACCCAGCTGTGCAGGTGCTCCTGGGGCTTCAGGAAGCTTCTGCCTTGCAGGAGTGTTTGCTTCTTCTCTCTCAACCATTCAACCCTCAGCATCTTCCCCTGCACCCCAGGCAGCAGTGGGGAGCACTCAGCCACCGTGCCCTGGCACCACTTGGCATCTCCAGTGCTGCTCCAGTCCCAGTGGGCATGGGCCCCTTGCAGGCAGGGAAGAGGGCAGGAAGGCAGGAGCTGATCAAACAGCAGCAGCAGCAGCCAGGATCTCACCCTGCCTTAGCCTGCAAAGCCTGAGGGAAACCTTCTCTCTGCTCAGCGGGGCTGCCTTTGGAAGCATCGGCCCTGGTGAGAGCCCGAGCACTGCTCTCACCCATCCCGGCTCTTTTAAGTGCTTAAACCCTCACTGCTTCCCTCCATGGGCCTTTGATCCAGCTCCAAAGCTAGAAAGGTTCTGCCCTGGGCAAATACCCAGGGAAACGATCCATTCCGAGGCATCTAGAGCAGGTAAAGGAAACCTCCAATTGCAATAACAGATGGGAAAACCAAGCAGGGAAATTTTGTAGCCTTTTGTACTGTTTTTCCTC